GTAACTGTTGACGATGTTAAAGTGCACAGATGTGATGAGAACTCAGACTTGATGAAAAGGTCTTCTGGATTCAGCCACAACACTCCCTGAGATCCTTCAGCCAGTTCAGTTACTGCATCTGAATTAGACAGTGCACTTTTGTCAGAAGCCCTTAGTGACCAGGATAAAAATAACCATGGTTTGAGAAGTGTTTTTCCATTTACAAGTAGAGAAGAAATTTAAATGGAACTTTCTGTTAAGGAATGGAAAAGAGTTTGTCGCCATGTATTTTATGCTGCTGCATTTGACTGGATTGCAAAACAAGCAGCACATGTAAGACTTGGAAAGGTATTTTCAGATGTTGCAGAACATTTTCAGGTTCAGGAATACAGGCAGGAATGTTGCTAAATGTATCCCTCTTGCAATGTGATGGCAAGATCTTAGCACAAAAAGCTTTCCACTCCCTCCCACTTCAGATTCCTCCATCATCTGTACCATGTTAGATAAACTGATCAGTATTGGAAAATACTTGCACACAATTTAAAAAGAAACAGATTGTGAAAGGATAGAGAAATGTGTTTCAATCTGAGAAAACCTTTTTGTGAAGTCCATGGTAGCTATGATGGAGACAAAAATAATAAAGCAGAGACAGTGGAAACTGAAACTGATAGCAAAAGCTCAGGAAATAGGACTGGTTAAATTTCATGTCTCTTCATTTTGTCTTGGTTCAGTACACACTCACATATGCACAGAGATTTTATCATTTTGGTTTTGTAAATGTTGGCTTTAATAATATTGAGGGTTTCCTCTGTGTGTGTTTTGGGCTGGCTTCTCCTAAAGTTGCAGAGATATTGCAATTCAGGAAATAAACAAAAATTGAAAAAGGAAATTAAGGTTGTAATTTTTGTTTGAATAAACTATACTTTTATTAAGCCACAGTGATATTTTAATGCCAAATCAAACTATACACAATAGGTTTTAGGTTCCTGATGGAACAAAGTGGCTTTCCATCAAAGGGTGCTGATATTACATTTTTTCCTGTTTTTCAGAAAATTGCTTTTTCTGAAAAGGTCTTTGTCTCATGGATTCAAAATTTTTAGAAATTTTATATTTCTAGACATAATTCTTTTTTTTAACTTTTAAATATGAGTGACTTTGGGCTCCAACAACCACCCTGTATCCGTCCATCTGTCTATCCCCTGAACCAATGTCCCCTCACAGCCTGGCTCCAAGCACCTTTAAAAGAGCCTTTAAGTAAGACTGGGAAAACCAGGGATGCTTGAACTTGCTAAAGTTCTTCAGCTTCATTTCAAAGTTCGATTGTGACTTGATTTTTTGCAACTTGATATTTCAATTCATTTGAATAGCAAAAGTGCCCCGTCTGAACAAGGAAACTGTGCATTATTCAACAGTGTGCAGTTTTCCCATTGACTAAGGTATGACAATTCAATTTGAAGGCATGCCTTTTTGAAATTGTGCACTTAAAATGTACACTGTTAGAGCTGTATACTTCAAATCATACATTTCTTAATATATATACTTATTATACATATACATGTATACATATATAGTGAATACATACATTCATACATACTGCCAACAAAAGTGCATATAGTCAAGGCTATGGTTTTCCCAGTTGCAATGTATGGCTGTGAAAGCTGGACCATAAGGAAGGCTGAACGCCGAAGGATTGAGGCCTTTGAATTGTGGTGCTGGAGGAGACTCCTGCGAGTCCCTTGGACCGCAAGGCGATCAAACCGGTCAGTCCTAGAGGAGATCAATCCTGACTGCTCTTTAGAAGACCAGATACTGATGATGAAACTCAAATACGTTGGCCACCTAATGAGAAGGAAGTACTCACTGGAGTACTAATGCTGGGAACAATTGATGGCAGAAGAAGAAGGGGACAGCAGATAATGAGGTGGCTGGATGGAGTCACTGAAGCAGTTGGTGTGAGCTTAAGTGGACTCCAGGGGATGGTGGAGGACAGGAAGGCCTGGAGGAATGTTCTCCATGGGGTTGCGATGGATCGATACGACTTCGCAACTAACAACAATACATACATACATATAAAGCATGATAATGTAAGTCTTTAAGGGCACACTTCAATTGTGAGTGTAAGGGCACACTTTAAAATGTGAGTTTAAAAATGCAACCTTTTAAAAATTCACATATTTTGAATATGCATATAAGTTTGTGAATCTTTTTTTTTTTTTTGCATATCCCTGCTTGGAAGGCATGCTCCTACCTTGCATGTCTTTCCTCTCTGGAAAGTCCTTTCTGGTGAAACCCACTCAGCACCTTCATAATGATATTTATGATCAAGGCAAAAGTATTCCTGATTATCTTCACTTTTCAGATTTACTGATGTGCTTTTTGTACTACTTCTGATGTTCTTCATAGATGTTTTGAATAGACCGGCAGCTTGCTGTGTGTGTTTATTTACCTTATTGTATTAGTTTCTATTTTTAATTCTTCATACTATTTTGTTTTCTGCTCTGAAGATATAAATTTATGATATGAAGCTGCAAATGTGTAGCCTTGACTTTCTTCTCCTTGTATACATTTTCCTACTTTTGGCATTATACATTTATCTCTCCAAAGTTTAACAACTTCTTCATCTTCCAAGACTTAATAAACCAAAACCATTCATTATCACGCATAGCAAATGTGGTCACCAGCCTGTAGTCAAATCTGCTGTAATGTGTCGGTACAGCAGTACCCCAGTCGTGGTTACCATTTGGAACGACTGGGGGCTTTGCTTATGGCCTATGACAGGGAGAATGTCAATTAGCAGTGCTTATTCCATGCCAATGCTTTATTGCAGGCCCAGTGAGCTCTGATATTCACCAAAGTCAGCTTATTATGGTTCACAGAATAGGTTAGCCCCATGAGTGTGGTCGCTGAAACTGAGGCCTAGTTAACCACATAGAGCAGGATGTATTTTTAAAAAATCCAGATCCTTTGGATGTTGAGATTTCTAAGTATGCCGTCACATGGTTATTTCTGCAACCTGCTTTTTTGTTCAAGAATAAAGCTACCTCTTCTTCCAAGTGAAAAGGTGGCTAAGGCATTTATAAATGTACATTGGGGTGTGTGTGTGTGTGGAGGGGGGATTAGAATACACTAATTAATGCTTTGTTTTGATATCCTGCTTGGCACGATCTTGTCCTTCCAAGCAAAAGTACACACCACAGTTTGTTATAAACTGCAGAGGAGAACTTACTTTCTCATAAGTAAAGTGGCAGTGTTGGGACCCGTGAAGATGGGACACCAAGGCTATTCACAGCTTGTGCTGCGAAGGTTAAATCTGCACTGGGCTAACATGCTTAATACTTAGATTGTGTATATAGGTATTGACTTTCCATCTTATGGGAAAACTGTTTTGTCTAGTTGGTACTAGTTCTTGCTTCTGAAAACTCTGGGGAAGTGTGTGTAGAATTCATGTTATGTGAGTTCAATAGAGCTTCACCCCAGCTAAGATGGTATGGGATTTTATCATTTGTTACAAAGTGAATTCTTTTGTTTTGTGTCCCTTTCTGTATACACAGAAAGCTGGACAGACATGAATTAATTTCAAAATTGCACCCTTTTTCTGTCATTTAATGAAATGCTGTAGAGCAAAAGGCATGTTAGGAATTTTGCTTTATTCTCTTCCGTACTCTACAGGTTCTTGTATGCTGTAATCTAGTGTTTATTTATAGATTTAGCTATAATAAATAAGGAATGCATTAACTTCAAAATGGAAAAATTGATTTATATTGGATACAGAACTCCAAAAAAGACTTAGGGAATAATCCTGTGCAAGATTAGATAGAAAAAGACCAATACCAGAAGTGGATATTATGAAGTTCATCAGGTTCAATTTTCTTTTCAAATCTGTGTTGCCAGATAGTTTACTAAATGGTCATCCCTGAATGCAACAGATTGAAAATTTTAATTCCAGATTATATGCTTAGGACTTAATTCTATTAGGTTACCCCTAACCCTCTGAAATTGGAGAATTACAGGCATCCTATACAGAGTGGAAGGACCTTGGAAGGGAAGTTCTAAAATATAGCATGACGGCCAATTTTGGCTTCCTAATTTCTATGTTTCAGAGGAGGAGAGGTCTGGGATTCTTCTCTCCTCCTTTACCTTCCCCTGGTATGACCACTAACCCCTTTTAGCATGCTTTGTGACCGTAGAGAAGGATCTAGTGCAGTTCTTTCCATACTGGTTGGAAGGGGGATCCAAGCCTAGATTTCCAGCTGCAATTTTTTCTGGCCAGCATGGTCAATACTGATGGTCATATTGGATGAGAATGGTAAGACTTGAAGTACAACCTCTCCCTTTGGCACCAGAAAGGGAAAGGCTGTTATATAATACTTTGTGGCCACCTCTATTTTCCATACACAATTACAGCTCTAATCTAAAATTGCTGGAATTTTCCTCCGCTAGAGAGAATTCCTCATTTTATACATTTTCCCACTTCACATGTTATGACAATTGTGGCTTAAACCAAGAGTAAATCTCCAAAAGATGTGGACTTCAACTCCCAGCCTTCCTGCCCATTGACCAATTTGACAGGAGCTGCTAGACTTGAAGTCCAAAATACCTGGAGATGTACCTTCTGCCTATCCCTGATTTAAACAAACCTGAATTACTAATGCAACAACAACAAACCATAAGTCTCTTTCTTGGTTGTTTGGGCTTAACAAACCATGGTTTGTTAGCAAAATCAGATTCAGAGAAGTTGAATGCTGGTGCAATGTCATGACTAGAGTGCTGGACTGGGGCTGAAGAGGGACGGATTAAGCAGGAACCTGAGTTCAAGTCCCTACTTAGCCTGCTAGGTCAGTCTTTCTTTCTCTGGACCATTCTGAGGGTCTTCCAAAACCTCTTTGTTTCTTTAGCCGCCATGAGAGAATTTATGTTGAAAAGTAGGATAAACCCTCACATTGACCAGAAGTTGATGATATACATGGGATATACATGGGAATGTCTGTGGTTAATGTTCACAAATATACTTCTCCCTGCAGATGTAAATGAATGTGCTATTGAGAATGGAGGCTGTGAGAACCAATGTTGCAATACAGTTGGCAGCTATTACTGCAAATGCCCGACTGGCCAGAAAGTGGGGGAAGACAGGACATCATGTGAAGGTAACCAACTTTGCCAACTTGACCTGGTTCACATGACATGATAGCCCATGGTTTCTCATGCATGCATGGGAGGGAGTGGACACACTGCCTGTAATTCTGATTTTACTAAGCAACCCTCGGTCTCCTCCCTCCTTTGTACCTTGCTTGACATTTCATCCAAACTTGGAGCACTGAGTTGCTTAGGGGCCAAAGATTTGCGTGGTTAGCCATGGTTATTCACTGATCAGAGCTGTTCATGGTTGCTAAACAGAATTGACAGGTGTGCTGCTAGAAGTGCACCTGTTCCCCCACCCCTGAATCCTTGATAGCCCATGGATTGTTTAACCCATGGGCTGTCATGTTGTGCAGGGTGATCCTCTGGCTTGTTCTTGTTCGGCTACACAGCAACACTTACTGAATGAAAATTAAACTTTTGTTCTGTTTGAAAATCTCATGAAAGTTAGGAATGCAGCTACATGTGAAGCTGCAGCTATATATATGGGAATAGGGTACATAGAAAAGGGTATGCATGGGAATGGTTTGGAGAGCTTCTTCCATCTTTGTATTGACTAATGCCTGTGAGGAAAGCTCAGTGGGCAACACCAAGAGGGGCACGTTTGGTAGTGGCCCCCTGACTGTGGAATAATCTCCCCACTGATGCGCACCCTGTAGCCAACTTTGTCATTTTTCCGGCACCAGGCTAAGACAGCCCCATAGCTTGATGGGTGCACCCATGCCAGTGTTTTTAGCAGGTCTTGAGTCTAATATTGTTTTAGCTGTTCAATTGGTATTACGGAAAAATAGGGTCTGCTGTTATGGTCCACTTCCTGGAAATGTTGTAGCTATCCCAGAGAGATTCATCTTTAAGGAAGAACAGATATTTTAAAAATGAGTTTAAAAGAGGGAGGGGCAAGCCTGGTGTGGCTTAACCTCAAAATGCCTAGTGAAATGTTGCATTTTGTATTCCCCAGTGGGGTGTGCTTTTAGTAACACATTGTGAAGCATAATATTGCATAAGTTTCAGGTGCTGATTGCTTAGAATGAGTTTGATACTTTCCAACTAGGGACAGGGATGTATATCTGCTGTACCTAGGCATATACCTTTGATACTGGAGGAAGCATATAGCTACTTACACCTGCTAGTCCTGGTGGTTATATATTGTCCCCAGTACCGGAGGCAGAATGCTTACATACACCACTTGCTGAGGGACATGGGTTGTGGGGGATTTTCCACTCAGCGGTGGGTTTCCATTGGGCAGCTGCTTATCCAATGTGTGAACAGAATATTGGAATAGATGGATCTCTGACTGATTCTGCATGGCTCTTCCAATCTTTGTATGCTCTGAGAAATGGTCTTGAGAAGATCTAGAGAAAGAGACAATGGTACAATGTACATTGTAATAGTATAAATCCCTGGCTAGTCAAAACAAAGACCACTGAGGAGAGACATGATAGAGATGTACACAATTATGCATGATATGAAGAAAGTGGATAGGGAGATACATTTCCTTTGTATATCATAATATTGCAATCCAGGGTCATCCCAGGATTCCTTAGTAAGTGGGAGCTTCAGGACACATAAAAAGAGGTACTTCTTGACACAGAACATAGTGGAATTCACTACCAGAAGATGTAGGTATGGCCTTAATCTGAATGGCTTTAAAGGGGATTGTACCCATTCATGAACAATAAGGGTATCTATGGCTAATAGTCTTTAAATGCTAACTCCAGGACTAAAAGTGGTGTACCTTTGCACACAAGTTGCTGGGAAACAGGGTGCTGTTGCAGTTGTGTCTTGCTTGTGGGTTTCCACAGGCAGCTACTTGGCCATGGCATGAACAACACATTCGATTGCATGGAGAGTGATCTGATCCGTCATGGCTCACTTCTTGCTAATTCTAGGTTTCTCTCTTTACCAAGCTCCTGGAAAGCATATTGCAGAGAAATAGGGAAAGCATTTTGATGCAAAGACATGCTCAAGTTCATTTGTTGATTCTGCTTCAAGCGAGTTGCTCTGAAATTTATGCAACCTTTCTGTGTGATGCATTGTGCCCCCCTTTAGAGTCCTTACCCACTCTCCATGGCCCTCCTGGGCACATCTTGGATATTCCTGTAGGTGCAGTTCCGTTGTAGGACAGACACCTTATGCTGCTGTTTATTGTTTTAATATATTTTGGCTTTTTATTACTGCATCATTTATATTATAACAATGTGTATTATTTTAAGCTGTCTGGGGAAGACTCCTACCCTGACAGCCAGCTTAGAAATATTTTACATAAGAATATTTAACACTCTGGTGTTCACTATGTAAACCAAATTACATGGGTTTGGGGTTGCTCCAACTTTACCAGAGGGAATAAATCTGCCTTAAAATATCCCAAGAAATTATTAGTTGTTATTAACATAGCAACAGAACTCTTAAACACCTTTGAGATCTGGCTGAGGTTCTCTGCCTGTGCAGCTCTCCTTAAGGACTGATACATGGCTATATAGTTTCATACTGAGAAAATCAAAGCAATAATAAGAGATAAGGTATAACTGGGCAGAATCTACACAGGTCAAAAAATATTTCTTAGCAAATAATTCAGTATATTAAATAGGACACACTGAGTATAAGATTATAGTAAACCAAAGAAATAAAGTTGTGGGTTGAATCCACACTTTGTCATACTTAGAGTAAGCCCGCTGAAGTCTGTGGGATTTAAGTTAGGTTATTACTAACCTGTGTTACTGATCCAATGGGTTTACGATATGGATGACTAAGTCTGGATTCAGCCAATTGCGTCTGACTCTTAAGACTTGCCTTCACTGGTATAATAGGGAGGTTCATTTCCTTCTAAGTTCTGCAAAAGAGCCATTCTGAAAAGCAATAACTGAGTCAAAAACCAACGGTCTTTCTTGCCAAATGAGCAGCATAGATATTTGGATGCTTGATGGCTGACTCCCACTAAAGATGGAAGACTGGAAACTGTGAGCATACTGTCCAAAGGTAGCTGTGGTTTTAAAATGCTGTCCCTTACAAATGATGACAAGAAGGAGGGAAGCCTGAATATACCAAACAAACAAAACAGACTTTAAAAACTGTTTGAAATCCCTAAGATTTAACCTTATATATCTTGATCCTTTGTGTCCATCTGCTTTTGGATACAACTTCTTTCACTTCTGCTTAGCAACAGGATAGTCAAACAAGACTGTTACAGGAGTAGTTGTGCTGATTATGTTTTCCATTTTGCTCTCTGTGTGTATCTATGTGCATATTCAGATGCTAGGAAATCTCAGTCTAATAGGATGCTATAAATGAAAAGAAGTAGTTCCACTTTGCAATCATTACTTTGCTGATGGGCACTCTTTTATTCAGGCAGTCAGCTTGGCTTGAATTAGAGTCTGCAGTTGACTCAGTAGAAGGGAAAGATCTTGGGACTAAACTCCTTCTGGCAGGTGATTTTGATACTAGCTGTGGCAACCTGTACTATTCCCCTGCAGTAACGAAACATAGATAAACCTTAAATGTCAACATTAATACATCTGTGAATCAGTATAGCAGTATTTATATACTTTTTAAAGGTACAAACTGGCTTGTTTTGAGAAATGGGAGGCAAAAAAGGTGAATGTTTTGTCGTGAAGAGGCAGGAGAACATCTCATTGCACTATTGAGACTGCCGTATCAATGGCCAGATTTTCTAAGGTGATGTTATACTGAGCGTGGTCACCACCTCCTTGTGCCTGGCTTCTCACTTACAAATGAATTTCCATTAGCCCAGAGATCTCTGTTATCTACCAAACGCATATCCAGTCAGCTTTAAGAAAGGAAAGGGTCACTGGCGGATAGATGACAGGGACACAGTGCCATTTGCTTGAGATGGCATGTCTGCCTTTTCACAGTCCTGATTCAAATCAGGAGGTAAGTAGGATTACTGTCAAGTTTTCTGGTTTGGAAATTGTGTGAAAAACAAGGACACCCAAGGAGATCTGAGCAATAATTTGATTGTGGAAGTCTTTTCTTGCAATGGCCCTAGAAATTGCAAGCCTTGTGTCCATGTACGGATAGGATGACCAAGCTTGTAGCACACTGGACAGAACCAAGTTGCAAAGGTTCACTGGCTGGATACAGGCTGCCTGGCTTGGTCTTTCCAGTAGGTGTAGTGAAGCAACCACTCTGTGGTAGCACCCCCCCCCCCGATATTCCTGGGTATTCCTCCTGAGCCTTGACCACCTTTTGGTGGATATATCCTATACTACGTCCCGTTAGAGTGGGTTACTTCCCTTAGGTACAGTGGTGGACACTCCCATTGCCAGGGACTGGAATGTCCTGTTGACATTCTGTAGTTGGCATGGAGAAGGTTATCATGCCGTTGTTGACCTCAGGCAGTGATATGTCTTAGGCTGGTGCTGCAGTTGTATATTCAGCATTTATTAATTTAAAATTGATTTCTAGTCCACCTTGATGACTGGAATCCTCCTGAGACAGCATGCAAGATTAACAACCTTGTAAATATTGAAACTAAAATTCAGCAAATATGTGTCCAGTGGAAGGTCCATAAATACTGACTGGTAAAAAAGAGATGGGTCTTTGAACTTTCTTGCGGAGTTTCAAGGAATGGGTCTGACGAACCGCTGGTGGCAGTTGATTGCAGAGGTGTGTGGGCACCACTGAGGCAGTCTTCTTTTGAACTCATGGGCTAGTGAGAAAGGCTTATGTTGATGCCCCCAAAGTGCAGGCAGGTTGTTACAGTCAAAGGTGGTCACTTGGGCCCAACCTGTTTAAGTCTTAACATCAGGCCAAGAAGAACTTCAATCACCAGTGCTGCTTTATCATCCCATCAGCTGACCACCCAGACCAGCAGCCATGGGAGGAGGTTGCACCTGCCATGTTTCCCATTGGAAAAAAATTCCCTACCTGAACATAGAAGGACTGAGCAATATTTAATGGTGCTAGAAAAGTTGAGCCCTTGTTTGAGTGCCTGAAGACAGGTGTGAGGTGAGTGAAGCTGTGTTTCCAGCAGGTCCCAGACAGGGCCAAG